ATGAGGAGGAGTTGAGTCCAAACGTTGGAGGTCAAAGTATTTACTCCACGTAGCACGACCAAACCATGCAACGGAGGAGGATGGGAAGAGAGCGGCCGTGGCGGGGACGGCTATGACAACCCCTAGAGAGAAACGGGTTGAAAGGTTCAGTACTCGCAAGAAAAGAACGAGCCGTGCAAGGGGACGAGACTCACCACAGCAGGCTTGGGGCTCGACCCAACCACAGAGGAGGGAGGGGAGCACGGAGGAAGAGTCCGGTCTGGGCCTAAACCGGCTCCTGTAGCAGGGGCTACAGATCCCGGTCTTCCAGGACGGTCCGACTCAGGGGCCTGGTCGCCCACCCCATGAGCCTGGTTAGTAGTAAAGTCGTCATCCATATAGCAAACCAACACAAAAGGGATAGGACCCGCAACCAAGGGACACCACCTGCCAGGGAGGCCGAGCGCCGGCCAGTGCAGGAAGGGTGTGTCGTCCCCAGCGGTGCTCCCCTTTTCAACAGGGGAGTCCTACTTCCTTCATTCTCCCACACTGGTGCTAAGACCCCAACCATCCACTCAGGCCGCCCTCTCACAGGCGACCCCTCCAGCGGGTGGTCAGATGGCCCCTACAAGGTGCCCTTCGGCACGTACACCACCAAAAGAGGGGGCACAGGCAACCCACACCCGTCCCAGGGAGGTGTACGGGAGCCCATCACCACGGCAAGGAGGCACCACGGAGGGGTTCTTTATATATTACTCATTCACAAATACTGCTGTTTAATAACTGCACATCTAACTATATGCTCAAAGACACTTTCCACTACAACAAACATTTACAACTAAATATTATGGAACAAACGTCAACCTCTGCCTTCAAGTATGTTTATTGAGACAAGAAAAAATACATCTCAAAAGGGATACAATAGCTTAGCTTATTTCTACTCTCCTCTACTTCAAGTCCCTCAAGGGGCGCACAAATTCAGAGTACAGATATACAAATCACAATACAACATTTAATATTGCAGATTAATATAGTAAGTGCTACATTCATTGGGGCAAAATTCTTGTAGTTCCTAAGTATTCTGTCTATCATATCATTATCACACATCCAAACAATTTGAAGTGCTACACTACTTATGTCTATGGTTATCACTTCCACGTCTCGGTACCTACACGAGGTTATCCACGTCTAAGGTACTCAAGCCTCTCACCTGCGAAAGTAAAATTGTATTCACCATTATGAACATTCATATCCTATAAACAATCCTTATCACCATTAGTATCTTTAATACACGTACACTTCTAACAACTACGGAGGGGGAAGGGGGGGGGGGAGGGGAATCAGATAATGCACACCAACGCCTGAACGAAACGGTCAAATGGGACACACATCGTTATCAAACCAACCCCTCCCTCCCTCCCCCCCCCCCCCCCCCCCGGGGGTTGCCACCCCTCTGGGTGTTACCATCTTGTCAGGGACCTGTGTTAACGGTTCTTCACCTGTATTTCACCAACTATTTACACCATCTTTCACCGGACAGACTACCACTATGAAAACAGCCACTACTCCATCGACCGGGATAAATTTTTAGCAACAGGAGAAGATTGGCTACAAATGACCAGATTCTACCACAAATTCCGTCAAATGCTAGAGAGGACGCAAACAGTGGCCACCTTACCAGAGCCTTAGATATTAACACCAAGCAAAGCATCCAGCACTTCCACTAACACCATAACATTTATATTTGCCAACATCCAATGTATAAAAACACGCAAATCAAACAAACTTCACTTTATACATGGTCTCCTTCACGAGGCAAATGCAGTGTTTGCAGCCCTAACGGAAGCTCACACAAAGGACTACCATGATGGTGAAATAGGGATCTCAGTACAATCTCTCCAGATGTGATAGGAAACACCGGCTTCAGGGTGGGGTCAGCCTCTACATCAAAGACACACTCATCTGTACTGAGCTGCTAAACACCACAAATGATACGGTGGAAGTGCTGATAGTCAAAATATATATCTTAAATGTAGTTGTTGTCCTTGTATATAAGTCACCGGAGGCAAACCCTCAGCAGTTTAAAGACCAACTAATGAAAATAGAACACTGCTTGGAAAACCTCTCAAATCCAGCTCCGAACATCATCCTGCTTGGGCGACTTCAACCTACGGCACCTGAAATGGAACCACCTGGCTAATACAGTAATATCAAACAATACCACGAACTACCCTCAATGAACAGGCACATGCAAATGACCTGCTACGGATGTGAAGTTTGCCTTAAACCAGCACATAGTACAACCAACTAGGAAGGAGAACACGCTGGATCTCATTTTCATTAATAATGATGAGTTGATCGGGAACAATGATTAAAAATACCTGTTACTCATATCACAACTTAATTGAAGTTCTGACAACCATGGGGAAATGGACCTTCAAAACCAGTCAAGATTCCCGGTGGAGGAGATTTCAGCAAATTCAACTTCAATAATAAACAGATGAACTGGGAGCAAATAAACCAGGACTTCACAGAAATAAACTGGGAAGAACAGCTAGAAAATGCAAACCAATCCCTCGAAAAAATAAGCTCACTACCACTAGAAATATGTTCAAACCGCATACCCCTAAGAAAAAAGATTAAGATGCAGATTGGAACGGGAACGTCGCTCCCTATATAGGCGAACAAAACGAATCGCGCAACAAATTGAGAGTCGCACCCTATCTCAAGAACGGCGAAGGTGGTTAGGTAGAGAAATATAAACAATTTAACTCAACCTACAAGAATCATACAAAACCCAGGAGAGGCAAAGAGCAAAAGGCCATCGGTGAAACAAATCCGAAATATTTCTTCTATGCAAAATCAAGATCAAAAACCACATCTAGTATCGGGCCCCTGCAAAAGGGAGATGAAACTTTCACCGATGACAAAGAAATGAGCGAGTTACTAAGGAAGCACTACGACTGTTTTCAGCGAGCCATTAAATGCACTAAACATTGATAACCCAAATGATTTTCTCATGGATGTGATACCAACATCAATTCATATCAGGCGTCGCCCTATCCCCGATAGATTTGGAAGCCATAAACAGTATGCCTATGCACTCTGCACCAGGCCCGGATTCTTGGAACTCCATATTCATCAAGAACTAAGAAACAACTATCCCAGCCCCTTCACATTCTGTGGAGACAAAGCCTACATACTGCCGTTATCCCTGACATACTAAAAACAGCAGAGATAGCACCACTCCATAAAGGAGGAAATAAAGCAGAGGCAAAAAATTACAGACCGATAGCACTAACATCGCACATCATAATTTTTGAGTGCGCTAAGAAGTAACATCACAAAATACATTGAATCACAGCATCTCCATAACCCCGGACAACATGGTTTCAGAACACGGCGCTCTTGCCTGTCGCAGTTGCTGGACCACTATGACATGGCATTAGATGCTATGGAAGACAAACAAAACACTGATGTAATTTACACATTTCGCACAAGCTTTTCATAAATGTGACCATGGTTTTTTTCAACATAAAATGAGTTTAAAAGGAATTACCGGGAAAATAGGCAGATGGATCTACAATTTCCTGACTAACACAACCCACTCTGTAATAGTCAACAAAAAATCCAGCCCATCAACCGTGAGGAGCTCGGTCCCCCAGGGTACTGGGCTTCACTACTTTCTCATCCTCATATCCGACAGACAAGAACACAACCTATAGCACTGTATCATCCTTTGCAGATGACACTAGGATTTTCATGAGTTGGCAACAGAGGACACGGCAAACCTCCAGTCACATGTAGATCACGTCTTTCTATAGGCTACAGAAAATAATATGGTGTCTAACGAAGATAAGTTCCAGCTCATGCGCTACGGAAAAATTGAAAATATAACAAACCACGTACAAAACTCTGGCAAATCATAACAGAACGAAAAGGCAATGTAAAGGATCTGGGTGTACTCATGTCGGAAGACCTTACCTTTAAAGAACACAAAGTACCAGTCACAACTGCAAGAAAAATGACAGGTTGGATAAAAACATTTCACACGAGATGCTATACCGATGATACTTCAAAACGCTTGTGCTCTCTAGAGTGGAGTACTGCTGCACAATGACAGCACCTTTCAAAGCTGGAGAAATTGCTGAGCTGGAAACCGTCCACAGATCCTTTACTGCTAGAATCAACTCTGTAAAACATCTAAACTACTGGGACCGACTACAGAGCCTAAATCTGTACTCACTTGAGCGCAGGCGGGAGAGATACATAATTTACACGTGGAAAATCATTGAGGGGCTGGTCCCAAACCTGCACACAGAAATATCACATGAGACCAGAAGACATGGCACGATGTGCAGAATACCCCCCTTGAAAACCAGAGGTGCAACAGGTACTCAGAACTATCACAATCAGAGGCCCGAGACTGTTCAACACGCTTCCACTACACATAAGGGACATAACTGCCCGACCCCTCACAGTGTTCGAGACAACTGGATAAGCACCTCCAAAGGATACATGATCAACCAGGAAGTGAGCAGCCCCGTCTAAACGCCCGGTTGATCAGTCCAGTAACCAGGAGGCCTGGTCGACTACCGGGCGGCGGGGACACTAAGCCCCGGAACCACCTCAAGGTAACCTAAAGGTAAGGCAAGGTATCTATGCATCTCTATACACGAATACCGTCTACCATTCATATACACCGATGCTTCAATACTTTTCCACCATAGTATATCTAATATAAATATTAAGTCTTCCATCTGGTAAGGCTGGGTCTCATCACCTATAATGCTCAAACTACACCACATCCAGTTGATTTGATTGACAGTCGAGAGGCGGGACCAAAGAGCCAAAGATCAACCCCCGCACGCACAATTAGGTGAATTAGCCGACTACATCCTTACACCACGATGTATTTACAACACGGAGCTGATTTAAGTGTTATGTACTACGTAACAATTATTGGGGTGGGGGGGGGGGGGGCCCGGGAGATAAAGACATCTTCAAATTAACAAACTCGCCTCAAGATCACGGCCTCTTCCATTACTCTGGACTGTGGCGTTGCTCGTCCTCTCCACCCCATGCCGATTGGTCCACAAATAGATACGTCATCGTTCTGTTCCGGCCACCCACAACCTCTCCACACGCTCACCTGGAAATCCATAATATGCATCAACTTATCCTCCACAACATTTCCTATTATGTCCTACAACCATCTAGGAACACTCAAATCCAATTTCCTTATATTACACAAATTTTTTTTGTTGTGGATGTATGTTAAGTATATTTGAACATTTAACAATTTGCATTTTACTCCAAGATATGTCTACCAACTTTTAACACCCTTTGAGGGAAAACAATACATAGTAACATGTTCAACCTCTGACGAATCCTACTTTTATATTAAATACTATCAAAGCGAAACCATGACACCCCTCCCCCACCCCTCCAAACTCCCACTTTCTTATACATACAATTGCAGTGCTAAACGCGATTTTGTTAATTCTCCGGGTTTACTCATCGCGCTAAATTACCCAACCCTCCTCAGCCTCTCGTTTCCTCCTACACTTCTCGCTACCAAACATTAACTGCTCAGTAACTACCTACTAATACCTATATCACCAAAAATTGCACATTATTTTTCAAGGTAAAAGACAGATCTCTTCCTATTACACAATTCTGCATTAACACTACACAATCAACTAGACACCAATATACCGACTGCTACACACGACAACCTGGACCCTGGACCAATACCTGAAGTTAAAAACGCACATTTCGCCATGACAAAGATACCGGACATGTTCCTTTCACTTCCGCCTATACTACTATTTCAACACGCGCTATCCCTCATTACACATTTGTATAAATATCAATACGCAAATGCCCCCTCACACCCCACGTGTACCGTCCCCACCCACCTACACATTCAACATACTCAAACGAGCCTCACATCTGCAGTGCGAATTAATCTACCCAACATTTTCATTCACTCCATGTACCAACATTTTCACTCCATGTATCAACAATAAATCATTCTTAATTCTTCATTTTTTGACCTATCTCCTATGAGGTCACGCTTATTTCAGGCACTATCATTATTATAAACTAATTGACTTACTAAAATTATCAAATGGGTTATTGTTAGCAGCAGCTCTACGTCAAACAACCTACAGCTAAATATGTCTACGTCACTCCGAGGACAGCAACGCCACGCATTTTCAATCGTTCCCCCTCATACGTAATTTTTCATGTACTCAGTGGTGTGGTAACCACACCACTATCACCTCCACATTAAATTATGGGGGGGGGGGGGGGGTAACAACACTATCAACCAATTTTAAAGACACGACGCGCGAACTGTGACGCCAAAGCCTATCGACAGTTATTAAGACCACTGAATAACATTTCCGGAACCAAACTCCATTTTTCGACGTTTTATAAAATCAACACTTACACGTTAACGCTGTTTACTGGCAAATTAAAGCACTCAGAGCACTACCATTTCGGGGTACTACCTATAACTACCAATTCAACACCTATGTCCACCCGATACCATCCCACTCCAACTGCGTTATTCCCCAAACACTTATCTATTGCATGCCGCCAATATACTACCTTCATCCCCCTTATTTTACATTTTCACCTAATTGCCTGGAAATCCAGTCCACCGCCCTATCGCCATCACGTCATTTTACTTACCTGCACCTGCAGTAGGTGACACTTCAATACACATGACTGCGTTAGGCCCGGTACACTTCCCTTCGTGGCCACGTTGTTATTAACTACTTGCTTTAACACTTATGTAAGGTACAGTTCAACAGTTAATGTCCTTCAATTATGAACCTTTCGCGGTATTTACATGCAATCCTAATATGCCTACTCATCCGGTCTATTCAATTTAGCGTTTCCCACTAACATATTACTTCATACATTGTTATTGCAACCAATTCTCCCTGCAACATGAGAGACTATTTACATGTGAACTAATTTCACCTCATCGTTGACAAACTTACGAAATGCTTATATCCCCAAAACTATCACCAACACTGACGAGTTTCAATTTCATTAAATCTTTCAGACCGTGAACAGTAATTCATGCAAAACTAGCTTCCTGTCACATGCAACCTCAATGTTGTGTAATTTATAACTACTCTCGGCCACTCAACGTAATTTTATGGCGGTTTCAATGTCAACACTCGCCTTCAGACTTTAGTAACGTGCCCCAACCTATCACCACCGACAACCATAATTCTATAACAAAAAAGTCTTTACATTTACTGAACTTGACGCGTCTCCCTCTGGTCTTCCACACAGCCCAGGGGTCCTGCCAGTGTCCGGTATTACCTCCAACAAGGCAACAGTTACCTCATGCTACCAATATAAATGATTTAATCATGCCTATACCATACCTTTATTTGGAACCTGTAGTTACTTTCAGTAAACTATTTTCTCTGAGCTCATTTCAAATGAGAATATTAACGGCATACATCCATAGCCAACCCACACAAGTAACGCATCAAAAACCCGTCTACACTCTTCACCACTTAATACTATTAACCACTTCAGTCTACGTATTTAGTACGTAGTCGTCCACATTCTAGTTTTATTATTTTTTCACAAATAATAATGGCAATTTAAGGGGTTACTACGGTATAATAACAATTTCAAATGCCTCTAACTTAAACTAGGTAATCAATAACTACTTACCTTAAACTCGTACGTCCATCATATCGGCTAATTCAAGTACCACATCTAGCTCTACCGGGACATCTGCCACCACCTTCTGCTCCCCACTGTCCGACTTCAATCATCCGTCCACCACTGCTCCCATCACAAGGAAGGGGGGGGGGGTGTCTCCTCCACATTCAAAACTCGCCAGTCGCCTCATTTCACGCGATGCCTCGTCTTCCCACCATTGCCTCCAATAACAATACCACTGAAATAATTAAAAATACAAGTAAATACATATTTATAAATATATATTACTCCTGATTAGGGATCAGGAGTCAAATATCTCCCTATACATATATACCCCAAGAGGGTATATACGCCACTTGTAAATTATATTTTTGACCCTATGTATTGGCGTTTTGAGGGTGTACAAAATGAGTGTAAGCTAGGGGTCTGTCAGCCCTAGCGACCCCAAAGGGTAACGGGGTACCAGCTCAGAGTAACAACACGCCCTAACACTAACTTGTACACCACAACTATGCCAATACTGGGGTCAAAATAACGTTCCGTCGAGCCTCACCCACCAAGTCGACTCAACAGCCAATCACCTTTCGATGTTTCAGTTGACGTCACAATCCCGCAAGCTCTACTGTCATTGGTCGCCTCCACCTAATTGGATACTCAAGTAATTCATGTCAATTATTTATTGAAAATGAAATATATACACCCAAATGTATACCCAATGTATGAGACACATACATATACCAAATGTATGAGACACATACATATACCATATGTATGAGAAACAATGTTTGACTTTACACTCACAAATGATGACGTTGGATTATTTATTATTATAATGATTAAATAATAATCATACTTATTCAAGCTGTAAGTACACTACAACACACTACAGTCTAGTACAGTACCGTACAGTACACTTCCGTACGGTACAGTACAGTACTATACATTACAGTACAGCACTATACATTACAATACAGTACAGTATGATACAGAACACCCAAGGGCACAGTACAATAGAGAACAGTACAGTACCGTATAGTACACTACAGTAAAGTGGAGTACAGTACCCTACATAACTGTACAGTACACTACAAGGTACAGAACCCTACAGTCCAGTAAACAACCGTACACGCCAGTCCACTACACTACTGTATACTACACAAAAGTACAGTACCGTATGTTACAGAATAGTACAGTATAATACAGTACGGTAGAGTGCAGTACAAAACAGTAAGTACAATGCACTACACAGCAGTACAGTATAGGACAGAACAGTACACTCACAGTTCGTTACTTGTCTTTCAAATGTACAAACGGCATCACCATTATCATTTTTTCTACTTAAATGACTGTTTCTGGAATGAAACAACGCGTAATAAGCACAATTTTCACGTGAGATGGGGAGACGGGATATTGTTGTTGTTGAGTTAGGGGCGACGACGATCGTGGGATCGGATGCGACCCGGCGTACCCGTGAAGGGTGAATCGCAAAGCCAGGAAAGGCGAAATGTCAAGCTGAAACGAGTGACGCCAAGCACTAGAAACTAATATGCCTCACGGCAAAGCTACGCACAAAGGGAGAGGCACAAGCACATGAGAGGAGATTGCTGCAATGGCGGTTTATGCCACCTGACGCTAGTATCACTAACCACCATTGTTATCTGCAATGTTAAATGTTGTATTGTGATTTGTGTATCTGTACTCACTGAATTTGTGCGCCCCTTGAGGGACTTGAAGTAGAGGGGCGGTAGAAATAGCCTAAGCTACTCTATCCCTTTCAGATGTATTTTTTCTTGTCTCAATAAACATACTTGAACTTGCTATTGCATTATTACCTTACCAACCCTTCATTTTCTTCTCTAAACAACACCAATGTATACTTATATACGTGATTTAAGCCATAGATGCACACTGCCACTAGTAATAAACGATTAGATTTAACATGCAATCAAATATTGTTTTACACATTTATGCAAAGTCATCAGTCATTTCGATTAATAAAGATCTTGTACGTTACAATTTATTCATTTGAACTGTCTTTTTTTTTCTGTGAATGGCGCTATATTATGAAATGTTAAGCTAAGCTAAGCAAGCTACTCGAGACTGGACTAGGCTAGGGTAAGCTAGGTAAGGTTAGATACAGTACCGTAAAATATAGGGTACAAAACATAGGAACAGTGCAGGCTACAATACAGTACGTTGCAGTACACAACATTATAGTACACTACCGTTCAGTACAGTATAGTACAATACAGTATAGGACACTGCAGTACAGGATACAATACAGTACATTTCAGTACAGTCAAGTATACTAGAGTATACTACAGCATAGTGCACACCAGTACAATATAATACATTACAGGAAACTCAAGTACAATACAAACTATTGTACTGTATTGTACATACAAGTACAGTGGAAGATTTTCGATTAGAAATTCCGCTAAAAATCCTATTAGAAATTCCCCTATAATTCCTACTAAAAATTCCCTAAGAAATCCTACTAGAAACCCTAATATAAATTAACATTCAAATCCTACTAGCAATCCCATAAAAATCATACTCAAAAATAACCTCTAAATTTTAATACAAATCATACAAGCAATCCTACTAACAATCCAATACAAATCCTACTAGGAATCCACTAGAAATCATCTACAATTCCTACTTGGATTCCTAAGAATCCCCTACAAATCTCTCTAAATCCTACTACAAATCATACTAGATAAACTATTAGGATTCCTACTAAAAATCGCCTATAAATCCTACTAGGAATCTCACTAAAAATCCCAATAGGAATCACCTAAACATTCTACTAAAAATTACCTAAAATTACTATTACTAATCCTACTATTTTCTTCAATATTTAATAATATTCTTCAATCTATATACATGGAAATGTTCCTTTGTGCATAACCGCTATTCAACTTAACTTCTTTACCGATTGCCTTGAATTGTTGACACAACGTTGCCTTCAGCATGCACGCAGCGATCCCCTTTACCCTTATTTCAATCGACGTTAGCTTGGTTTCTAGTCTTAGGTTCAGTATTTTAGTTCATCTGGGAGCTCCTGTTATGACTCGCATTGCATCGTTTTCAATAACCTCAACGTTTGCCCAATGACCAGGAGAAAGAGTGAGTAAGGCAGGCGCTGCATAATCAACTAGGGAACGAACGGCGTGTATGTAAAACATTCTTAACACTTTGTGTCCCGCTCCTAGACGGGGCCCTGTGATTGCTCTCATTATATTGACCAAGATATTGACTAGACCTACAATCACTTCACTTAAAGATATAATCACTGGAGCACTAACTCTGGACAGAAGAGCCTCCAATAGTAACAGGTGCACCCATTGTGCGATAAACACCATCAATACATTCGATATAACAAACACAGTCACTGAGAAGGGTGTCGACGAAATACATGCAGACTTTGTTATGCAAGCCCCTTCGGAATCTCTGCCAGCAGACTAAGATTATGGTTCTTGAAGGAAAAAAGAACCAGACAAATCCTCATCTGCTACGTAACATTGCACAGATGCATATAGAAGCAAACTTGGCATCCGACAGCTTCACTTACTTCACAGATGGATCAGTAGACCACCAGGGACAAGAAACCGGAGCTGCAGTTAAAGCAGGAAACTCTGTAAATACTTGGAGGCTCTCAAATGGGTGTTCGACTTTAGAAAGAGATGCTAGCCATTCAAACGGCTTTGGAACATGCTCTTGCTGAACACCGACATGTTATCATACATACAGATTCGAGAACCGCCATTGAAACCTTGCAACAAGAACACATATGTGATAACATACATCTGATCACAAATGTCATATCATTAATGCAAACACTCAAACGACAAGGCCGACGGGTACTTATCAACTGGGTGCCAAGTCATGTGGGAATAATAGGAAATGACATTGCAGACGAAGCTGCAAAACTTGCAACTAAGAGAAGAAATGTAGACATTTACATACCACACAGTCTATCACAGATTAAGAAAGTAATTAGAAACAGAGCAATGCAAAAGATGTACAGTGACCACAACACAGCAGTTGCAACATCAGGAACTGCGGGTTGGTACAAGAATTCAACCAACTACGAACCACTTACTTTGATGAAAGGGAGCAGTAGAGCAACAGAAGTGCACTTACATCGCATCAGACTTGGATACCCATGTGCATGGGAAATAGGCTTACAGGTTCCGGAAGATGAGAGGAAATGTCAACACTGGAGAAATGCCCGACAGACCACTGGAACATTATCTAACACAGTGCACAGTTACAAACCCATTAACATTTCAACTTAGATTCAACAGAGCAGAAGTTGTTAAACATATATGGCTAAATCTTACGTAAGCGACCATACGAGTAATAAATACTCATACTCCGCCAAAGTAAAACAGAAACAACCAACACTTAGTGGGCCAGCCAGAGGCTTAGGGCCCACGCAGGAATATCCCTGAAAAAAAAAAAAACGTTGCCTTTGAATAGGCGCGTCTTTTTTATATACCTACTATATAGATGCGACACCTGTGACAGGTAAAAGTATGCTTTTCTTCAAAACACTACCTCTGTTGCATGTCAAAGCAGCACACATGCTATACTAAATGTTATAATTCCATTTCAATGTTTCTGATTGCAATCATAATTTGATTTCTCATACATTATGATTTATTTGGATTTCATTATTTTGTGTGATTTGCGTTGCAATTGAGCTGTGTTGTTTACCACACCCATCATTTCTGGAGTATATTTTTTCCCCATATTTTCATTCCATTTTTTAACTGCAAATCTTATATTTCACTGATGGGAACATCAGATCACTTCATGTTCACAATTTTCTCATGGGAACATCAGACCACTTTGGAACGCATCGGACGAGGGAGTGGGGAATGATTGGGAGGACGAGGAGACGGGTGAAATGGTGGGGAAGATTGGGGGACATCAAATCAAATGTTTATTTAGAGCGACCATACGAGTAATAAATACTCATACTCCGCCCAAGTAGGAAGTTGTCGCTCAGCAACGCTTTGTCACGTACAGCTTGTATTGAAAGTTCAGTATTCATATTCTTCAATAATATTATTCAATAGTATTGAATAATATACATTAGTATTATTATTCAATAATATTGATTATTAAATATCCATATTTATTCAATATAGATTATTGTTCATTATTATCGTATATTATTCATTAATATTCAATAACATCCAATGTTATTCAATAACATCAAATATTGTTCAATAACTTCCCATATTATTCATTAATTAAATAATATGGATCAATATTATAGATTATTATTCAATATTCTAGATTATTATGCACTAATATTAAGTATTCAATATTCTACATTTTTGGGTTAAGATTATTCTATATTTTATTCAATGTCATTTCATATTCTACAATACTGAATAATTTTGCTAGGAGATTTGTACGTTAGCTGAGCCTAACTTCTGCCACTTGGCTAGGCTTCTCTCTTCTCTTCAGACAGCAAAATACGCGAACACCCACAACCTACAAGACGCTTCGTG